TATCGTCAGAAGTGCCTAAAACATGCTTGAAAATATGCAAGAGCTGAATGTGAACCCTCATTCATGCAAAGATACAAATCGCCTACGTTGTGCCAGATATGCTACCGTAGGGAAAGGGCTGTTTAAAAATGTGATGACGTAACCGTATATTCGTTATCGTTTTCGTAAGCTTGCGAAAACTCCCTATTGTTTTCAACCCAGATCATTTACATGCATATTTTCTTTGATTTACAGATATTTGACCAAAACACATATAAATTCATTACTAATATATTTTAATGCTTTTAACTCATTGGAGATGGTATATTTTCAGGTACGGTAAGTCTAACAATGAAGGTGTCATTTAAAATTATTTTTTAAACGTTATTGTACAAAAAGCCTGACAAATGTATAAACAGCCGAAAAGACATGATAAACATTTGTTACATACAATCAAATTAAGCAAAGTTTGATGAAATGACGAATATACGTTAATGAGTAGTTCTATTTGTGTTTTATATTTCCTGATCTCTTTCTGAAGGTTACTTTTATTGATGTCAATGCGTAGGATGTCTACTTTTGAATCAATGAATGAATGTGAACAGCTAATGTTGAAATCTTCTGTTGTACTTTGGGATTTCGTTATAATTAACTCAAGTGATCTAAACGTCATCAATGTTTCGCTCACACAGAAAATGTAGGTTGTGACGTGGGATATTAGACCAACTAAACTTGGAATTTACCTATTTTATGAAGGAATGAATAAATGAATGAATGAAAAAATGAATGAATGAATGAATGAAGGAATGATGAATGAATGAATGTATGTATATATGAATGAAAGAATGAATGGATGGATGGATGGATGGATAAATGAATGAATGAATTGATGGATGGATAAGATAGATAGATCAATGGATGGATGGAAGGTTTCGTGGATGGATGGATAAATAGATGGACGATGTAAGGATGGATGCATTGTTCGATGGATGGCTGGATAAATCGATCGATAGATTGATGAGTAGGTGGGTGTGGGGACCGATGGATGAACATTACACTTTAGTAGCAGAATAGCTTAATCCCTAAATATTGGTCACATTTAGAAAGATGATAGAATTGACAACTGCTACTGTTTGTCAACGTAAGGTACTTGTCAAAATTTCGCTTTTCGTGACAGTCTGCTGACAAATAGGACAACTGTCAATTTAACTAAATACGGTAACATGATGTAGGCCTATAAATATAGTGTATTCGTCACAAGGTTCGTGTGTCACAGATCTCTTTGTGTCTGTTTATTGTTGTTTTCTATGAGATTATTTACGATACTCTAACGAAGCTACTCTTGTAGTGTTTGTCAATGTAACGTATGGCAACAATATTGTTATGTCAAATGCTGACAGAGTTAAATTATTCTGAATAAATGTAGTGTCTGCGTATATATTTCATTATTTCGGTACACATGTCTTGTGTTCACAAGCTGTACACCATAAAAAAAAGAAACGTTTATTATGTAACTTAATTTAACTAATCAAGAAGCAAATTAAGCATGTTCAACCGAGCTTTGACATATATATGTATATATGTAGCATATATACTTGACAAAGGTTGATAACCGAAAACGTTTGCTCACTTGAATAAAATTATATATCTGGCAACTTATTACCATCTCTCCGGAGTTTTTGTTTTTTCTATCTTGTTTGCCAATGCAGCCCTCCAGTTTATATA